ACCTCTTCATGAAAGCCACGCCCATTGGAGGGCGCCACTACCACAAGGCTGATCCAAGATGGCAGGGTATCTGGATTCTAGTAATTTTCTTTTCTTGTTAAATATCACACAAAACTACTCGAGGGGTATTAGCGCTAGTTGCCCTTAATTTTGAAATGACAGATTAGAAAGAGGGCTGCTAGCCAAAACTACTCCCCCCCCCCGCTAACTCTTGGACTACTCTTTACCAACGAATAGTGGGATTGACCGTCACATTAAAACTTTCTCACAGGCGAAAGTGCAAGCCTGTTCGGTTCGATCCTGCGACCCGCATATTGCGAGTCGAACGCCTTAATCAGTAGGCCATGTCAGACAGTGAGTCGAGTGAATGTGACAACATCCAATATGGTCACACTCATAGAAGATCACTATCTTGTCCAAGATTTATGTATTATTTTGGTACTTTGAACTTGATTTAGTTTATAACACACAAGCTTACACTTTATGATATCTATGCTTACGGATTGCTAACTAAGCATTCAAAACTATTATTTCGATCTTAAACTAATGTAGACTGTTTCTTCTTTGGTTTTGCTTTACCTACAAATTCATGATGTTCACACGAACCGTATAACGACAGAAAAAAGTCTTTTTTCATCATGCAATACAATTAAATTTTCACAATCTATCAAAAATTGCAGTGGATCTAACAACTACGGGCGTTACTGAAGTAAAAACTGACTACAAAGCTATTTTAAAATCATTTATCCTCACTGGTATTTTGGAATTCAGGATATGTAAGAACAGTCAAGTTCTATATATTTAAAACTGGCCTAGCACAGCTAATTATTGGTAGCATGAAACCTGCTTTCAAAGTCAAGTTCTACATATGAAACTAACCTAGCACAGCTAATTATTAGTAACATGAAACACTGCTTCTAAATCAAGTTCTACACATGAATCTGGCCTAGCACAGCTAATTATTGGTAGCATGAAACACTGCCTTCACAGTCAAGTTCTACACATGAATCTGGCCTGGCACAGCTAATTATTGGTAGCATGAAACACTGCTTCTAAGTCAAGTTCTACACATGAATCTGGCCTAGCACAGCTAATTATTGGTAGCATGAAACACTGCCTTCACAGTCAAGTTCTACACATTTAAAACTAGCCTAACAAAGCTAATTATTGGTAGCATGAAACATTGTTTTCACAGTGAAGTTCTACACAGTTAAATCTAAACTAGCAAAGCTAATTACTGGCAACACGAAACACTGACTTCACAGCCAAGTTGTACGCATGTAACTAGTTTAGCAAACAATGACAAAGGCCAGTTCTACATATAATGTTAGTGGTAAACACGTTCAACACAGCAACCCAAAACACACTTCACAGTGGAGTTCTACAACTAAAACTATCAGTGCTAAATACTGACAACACAAAGCACAGGCTCCACAACCTAGTTTTACAAATAAATGTGCCCTACCAGTATTAAATTATAGTAGAGCAATTACTTCAAGTCAGTTTTCACAAATACTACTCCTAGGTATTGGCAACACAATAGTACGAAACACTGAATCCACAATCAAATTCTACGCGTAAAACTATACCAGTATAGAGTGCCAGCAATACAATATCACGGAGAAACTAATTCACAATCAGTTTTCAAAAATACAACTAGTTCCAAATACGGACAACACAGAATACTAAATTCACAGACAAGTTGTCCAAACAGAGTCTGTTATTTACTGAAGAGATAGCAACACAAACATTAATTAAACAGTCGAGTTCTATAACTTATACTAGTGCTTATTGCTTTGACACAGTAACACAAAACACAGACTTTACAGTGAAGCTCTACACATAAAGCTATTTTCTGACAAAACTAAATACTCACAACACAGCAACACATCACTCTAAGCTCTACAAGAAAGACATTAATATCACAGTGAAGTTCTATATATAAAATTATTGTCTTACGAAACTAAATACTCACAACACACTAAGCTCACAAGCAAGACATTAAATGTTAGCAGTAAGAAAACAATGACTTGATAACGAAGTTACAAAGATGAACGTATTGAAACAGTTGGTTTAAAATAGATTTATTCTACAGGCATATCTTGTTAAGCAACGCTACTCATTGGCTCTAATTCTACGTAGGACAAATTAATATCAGTTAAAGAATGACGAGTATTTCAGAAAATAATGGCCGAGAGGAAAAAATGCTGCCAACAAATAGCACAGATTTGATAGTTAAATTCTACAGTGTGATCAAAAACTGATTCTCTACATTTAAATCATTCTAGTGTAATTAATATTAACTTCCCATCAAAGCAAGCGATGTACATAGAGTACATGTATATTTTTCTTACGTTTCTACTTATACAAATTAGAATTCGTTGTTTCATTAATTGGATGCTTCGTTATTATCGATATTTTCGACCGTAATTCCAATAATATTTCAAGAGGTTTGGTCAACTTGGGAGACTTACTATAGTCCTGCATTCACACAGATATATATATATAGTCCTACATTCACACACACACACAGAGCTATAGTCCTACATTCACACACACACACAGAGCTATAGTCCTACATTCACACACACACAGATATATAATCCTACATTCACACACACAAATATATAGTCCTACATTACTATAGCTCTGTGTGTGTGAGTGTGTGATTATAGCTTTGTTTGTGAGTGTGTGAATGTAGGACTATAGCTCTGAGTGCGTGAATGTAGGAGTAGCTCTGTGTGCGTGAATGTAGGACTAGCTCTGAGTGTGTGAATGTAGGACTATAGCTCTGTTTGTGAGTGTGTGAATGTAGGACTGTAGTTCTGTGTGTGTGTGTGTGAATGTAGGACTATATATCTGTGTGTATGTAGGATTGCATATATATATATATGTGTGTGTGTGTGTGTGTGTGTGTGTGTGTGTGAATGTAGGACTATCTCTCTCCGTGTGAATGTAGGACTATCTCTCTCCGTGTGAATGCAGGACTATATATCTCTGTGTGTGAATGCAGAACTATATATTTGTGTGTGAATGTGAGACTATATATCCGTGTGTGTGAATGTGGGACTATATATATCCGTATGTGTGAATGTGGGACTATATATATCCGTATGTGTGAATGTGGGACTATATATATCCGTATGTGTGAATGTGGGACTATATATCCGTGTGTGTGAATGTGGGACTATATATCCGTGTGTGTGAATGTGGGACTATATATCCGTGTGTGCGTGAATGTGGGACTATATATCCGTGTGTGCGTGAATGTGGGACTATATATCCGTGTGTGCGTGAATGTAGGCACACACAGAGATATATAGTCCTGCATTCATACACACAGAGCTATAGTCCTACATTCACGCATACATATATAGTCCTACATTCACACACACAGAGCTATAGTCCTACATTCACACACACATATAGTCCTACATTCACACACACAGAGCTATAGTCACACACTCACACACAGAGCTATAGTCCTGCATTCACACACACAGAGCTATAGTCCTGCATTCATACACACAGAGCTATAATCACACACTCACACACAGAGCTATAGTCCTACATTCACACACACAGAGCTATAGTCCTATATTCACACACACACATATATAGTCCTACATTCACACACACACAGAGCTATAGTCCTACATTCACACACACATAGCTATAGTCCTACATTCACACACACATAGCTATAGTCCTACATTCACACACACACAGATATATAGTCCTGGTCCTGCATTCACACACACATATAGTCATATATTCACACACACAGAGCTATAATCCCACATTCACACACTCACACACACAGAGCTATAATCCTACATTCACACACTCACACACACAGCTGTAGTCCTACATTCACACACAGAGTTGTAGTCACACACTCACACACAGAGAGCTATAGTCCTACATTCACACACACATAGCTATAGTCCTGCATTCACACACACACACAGATATATAGTCCTGCATTCACACACAAACACACAGATATATAGTCCTGCATTCACACACACACACATATATAGTCCTGCATTCACACACACACAGATATATAGTCATGCATTCACACACACAGAGCTATATTCCTGGATTCACCCACACATATAGTCCTACATACACACACAGTGCTATAATCTTACATTCACACACTTACACACACAGCTATAGTCCTACATTCACACACTTACACACACAGCTATAGTCCTACATTCACACACACAGAGCTATAGTCCTACATTCACACACACACACAGCTATAGTCACACACTCACACACAGAGCTATAGTCCTACATTCACACACACGGATATATAGTCCTACATTCACACACACAGATATATATAGTCATACATTCACACACACAGATATATAGTCCTACATTCACACACACCGATATATATAGTCATACATTCACACACACAGATATATATAGTCATACATTCATACACACAGATATATAGTCCTTCATTCACACACACAGATATATAGTCCTACATTCACACACACACACAGAGATGTATATTAATCTAACAATACATAACAATATGTATAGTAAAAATATAATAATAGAAAATAAGACTAAAAAGTAATAACATTCGATATATTAAACAGTCTAACCATAACTGCTAATGAAAGTGACAATGAATAATACAGTATAGTTTATTTAGGGAACACAGAACCACTAGCTGTTGTCTTGAATTACTGTTGTATAATTAATTTTCTGTAACATGCTTGATTTTTTTCCATTTCCCGTTTTTGACCAATGAAAACTCATCAAGCCACTCCATAGAGGAGTGTGGTGTTTGCGAGTGTGACAGATGACACATCTTACGGTTTAAACTATGTCAAGTTAGTAGCTGTAATTTGTCATAAGTATAACCAAAAACTATCGTTTAGAAGACATAAAATAAAAAATAAAAGAACCATCCATTAAAATATAACAATGCTAAACGTAAAACAAAAGAAATAACATGTTAAACTTACTATGAGGTGAGTCTAACATTATTCCTCTTAACCAACCTTCCACAGTTATAAAACACACAGAACGGGCTACAGGAAGTAATAAATAACACATTAACTCTTCTACAAAAACCGAAAAGGAAACACGATAATCCTCTAGAGTTTAGAAATAATAATAAGGCTTAGAAAGGAAAGATACAAAAAATAAATTAACTAAACTAATAACATAATGACTAACTATATATGGAACTGTCATATAGCTAGTATTAACTATATATATATATATATACATATATATATATATATATAATGATAGTGGCCAATACAGTAAAGCTGTTCACTATCACCACAAACAACATCCAACGCAATTAAATTGTACACTGGAAAGTGTTTAAAAGGTTGTAATACTCTGTAAAACTTCTAAGACTATAATTTGTAACAAGAACATTGTTGTATTTTCACAGAATTCTATAAATTTTTTGGTTAATTTGCGCAAGGAGAAACCTTGTTTATGAAAAATGAGAATGAGTTTACGAGTTCAATCCACAGATTATTGTAATATTAAACAAGTTATATTGTATCTAATAAGCTGTGAGGAGGAAACATTGTAATATAGCTTGTTTGTTTGTTTTGAATTTCACACAAAGCTACACGAGGGCTATCTGCGCTAGCCGTCCCTAATTTAGCAGTATAAGACTAGAGGGAAGGCAACTGGTCATCACCACCCACCGTCAACTCTTGGGCTACTCTTTTACCAACAAATAGTGGGATTGACCGCAACATAACGCCCCCACGGCAGAAAGAGCGAACATGTTTGGTGGTACGGGGATTCGAACCCGCGACCCGCAGATTGCGAGTCGAGTGCCCTAACCACCTGGCCATGCCGGGCCCAGCTTTTTGGAATATTTGTATTTGGAATGAGAAAGTTAATAATTCCAAAGTTGAAAGTATCCATTTTACCGGAAACGTTTATTTTGAATGTTAGATTGATGATGTTGATAAGTAAATCCAGGATAAAAACGATAAGACTTGTATTCATGTGCAGTCTGTGTACCATGCACTTACTCTGTTTATGTAGACTCTTACATTAATATGAAAGAGATGGAAATTAAAATTATTATTACACTTCTTTAGACACAATACTCCTTAGTCGTGAAAGAGAAGCAGGAAATTCTTACTTTAATTCCACAGATGAGAATAATGATTACAAGAAGCAAAGCCGTGAAAGTTCGATTTGACTGCCTTAAACATTCGTTTTGCAAGGTGTTCCTATTTTGCAGACAATTCCTAACTTGTAGTTTTTATTATGTGATAATTCTGGATTTGAAGCTTTTGCATCAGTAAAAATTAGCAACAAACACTATACAATATGTACATCTAGAAATAGGATACAGATGTAGAATTTGAAAATATCTATTACCGAACTTAAAGTAATGACACAACTGAACAGCCACGAACCATACATACATGTTAACGTTTCTTAGTGAACAGCCACGAACCATACATACATGTTAACGTTTCTTAGTGAACAGCCACGAACCATACATACATGTTAACGTTTCTTAGTGAACAGCCACGAACCATATATACATATTCATGTTTCTTAGCGAACAGCCACGAACCATACATACATATTCATGTTTCTTAGTGAACAGCCACGAACAATATATACATGTTAATATTTCTTAGTGAACAGCCACGAAGAACATATACATGTTAATGTTTCTTTGTGAACAGCCGCGGACCATACATACATATTCATATTTCTTAGCGAACAGCCACGGACTATACATACATATTCATATTTCTTAGCGAACAGCCACGGACTATACATACATGACGAACCATATATACATGTTAATGTCTCTTAGTGAACAGCCACGAACCATACATACATGTTAATGTTTCTTAGTGAACAGCCACGAACCATACATACATATTCATGTTTCTTAGTGAATATCCGCGGACTATATATACATATTCATGTTTCTTAGTGAATAGCCGCGGACTATGAATACATATTCATGTTTTTTAATGAACAGCCGCGGACTATACATACATATTCATGTTTCTTAATGAACAGCCGCGGACTATACATACATATTCATGTTTCTTAGTGAACAGCCACGAACTATACATACATATTCATGTTTCTTAGTAAACAGCCACGAACCATATATACAAGTTCATGTTTCTTAGTGAACAGCCGCGGACTATACATACATATTCATGTTTCTTAGTGAACAGCCGCGGACTATACATATATATTCATGTTTCTTGGTGATTTAGCAGGTTAACATTTTGTTCCAAGGTGATATATATATAATTGAGTTCTGTCACGCGACTATATATTTAGCCTCATCTACATGAAAATTAATCTGCTTAACAGCAGTGACACGTGATTAGTACAGTAACCATAGCGCTAACAAAAGTCATGACCAGCATTTTTTCAGATTATCCTATGCATTGGTTAAGCACATCTCGTTGTTATCCAGCTTTTATATAATTTGTCATTCGTTTACACAGATCTTCACTTTACTTCCGAAAATAAGTTAATTTAAGTTGGGCACAACTTTATCTCGCTCAGTCTAGAAACTAAGCCGGTAGTTCTAAACTGCTTCGACATGATACATTAATCGTTGACTGGTTGCTACATAACAGTTGTTACAACGAGTTCAATTCTAGAGTGGCTGTACACAACATAATAAAACGTACTTTATCTAAACTATTATTTGACAAAAGTATGTGTGTGTTTGTGTGTGTGTGTGTTCGCTTATAACTGACGAACTGCTGGATCGATTGGCAACAAACCTAACATGTTCGCTTAGAGCAACCGGGAAGTTACGTGAGGGTTGGTGTTCGGACCTGGCCCCCTATGTCATTCATTTGGGCTCCTATTTCCTTCCCGTGCGATCAGCGGGTACTTATAGTAAATATAAAAAATACACCTTTCTGATTCACTTAATTTGTGTTTTATAACTAAAAACATGAAGAATTATATATATGTCGTAATATTCTTTACTTTAGTGCTTATATGACTGAGTATTTAGTCTTTGTTATCTTGGGTAGAAATTCTATTTTTAACGCTTTTATTAAAAACTCAGCTAAGCTTTATACGTTTCCTTGACTGTACCCGATTCAAAGAAACGTATATTTGTCACTGAAGTACGTTCTTACCTAAAGAAAAGATACCGTGCCTACAAGAAAAAGTATTTTCTCTCTTTGTGAAAGTTCAGCGCGTGAATGTATTTTCACAAAGTTTAAAATGTGAGGCATAACTGTGTATTCAAAAGGTTTTGAGGAAGCTGGAGATAAGTGTTGTTTCTGCTTTCCAGTCTGATTTTTATTATATCTGAAAAGTCCTTTGTGGGAAAAACACAGTTTCAAGTATGAAGGCCTGCTTTGAAGTAGCGCATTGATTGATATACGTACCATTCTTCCTTGCAATAAATATCTGGATATGCAGTCACGGGTACTAGTACTCAAAGACACACATATCTCAATATATAGTTTAATCATTATGGTTTCTAATAATGGCTGGAGACGGCTTGAATGGGTAATGAAGAAAAACTTTAATATAAGTTTAACATAACAGCAAATGTACGTTTCGACAAGGTTTTGTCATCATCGGGTACAAGTAATTTACACATACACGGATATATATACATATATATATATATAGTATATTAGAATAA